TTGTAACACACTTCTTCTCCTCCCCTCCTTATCTGGTTCATTCTGTCTTGTCATCTCAATGCTCAATAATGTCCCCTTTAGGGTCAGCTCCCTCGGTAAGCTTCCCTGACACCCAGTTCAGTGCTGTTCCTCTCTGTTTCCAGGGCATTCACGGCATTTCTCTATTGCAGGACTTACTACACGGGTGCGTAATTGTCTATTGGTTTGTCTTGTCTCTTCCAATCCCCATAAAGCCTGGAACTGTAATTTGTCACAGTATCCCCTGACTAGGATATAATAGGCATTTAGTAAATATTTATTGAGTTTTAAAATATGAACAAAGCTATAAAATGGAAATTTGTTGGATGTGTTATGGGTGAATGATTAGTACTTTTTGAAGGATGGAGAAAGGTTAAGATTTGAAACGCCGAATTCTGAACTAGTAGACAAATGAAAGGCAGGGACTGGGGTTGCAGGAAGAAACCAACACTAAAGCTAAACAGCTCTGCCACTGAACCATTGATGCAAACCCCTCTCCCCTGCCACACACCCCAATTTTGAGGCAAGGGCGTAAGGGTTGAAAGTGAAGGATGGACTCCAAACCTGGAGTTGATGTTTGTGGCATCACTGAGACTTCAGAACTGGAATTAGGGAACTGTTGTGGTGGTCAACTTGACTTGGGCAGGAAAGATAAAGTGGGATTATATCATAAAACACCTTAAATGTCAGGCTGAAGAGTGGTTCTAAGTCTTACCATCTCTGGGCAATCACTGAATGATTATGCAATAGAGGGTGACAAAATGGGAGCTTAGGAAACAAGTCTGACTGCGTCATGTAACACTGAATACAGCACAGAGAGGCTGACTATTAGGAGAATATCTAAGTATTTTGTTAAAGGTAATAAAAGCTTAAACTAAAGGGGTGGCAGTGAAACTACAAGGAAGAAAATTGCAGCATCCATGGGAAACATTGGGAGTAGTCTTGAGACTTGATAAGAGAAGAAAGACAAACACACATTTGCAAATAGAAATTTTAATGAAATGAAGTGGTTAAATATTGATTATAAAAACCAAAAATATTTCACCGAGCCAGGTACTTTATTTCTTTGAGCAATGGCTCCATAGGTTTAGAGTATCTGGGTTACTATTTTACAAAGAACACCAATTCATATACTATTTTTTAATGAAGAGAGGCTTTTCATTTGAACAAAGACTCTTAACACCTCGGGTATCACAGGTACCAGAGAGGTATTATGCTATACCGGGCAGTGGCACGGAGCTGCCAGCATCATGGGAGAAACATAGCCAGCTCCTACGAGACAGATTTTTGCAGAGCCAGTCCAATAGTAGGGACCTTTTAACTGTACTCCTCAATTGACTCTTTCTATCCTAAAATTCTTTTCTTTTCTTTTTTTTTTTAAACTGTGTTCCAATAAGACAACACTCTTTCCAGAAAACAATTCAAGAACACTGCACTTAGAAGTATTGAGGAATAGATTCCAATAACATTTTCTACCAATTCTTCCTCCCTAAATTCTTCAACTTGAAAATAAAAATTTAAAGACCCAAAAACCTTTCCATATTACCTGTTTTCTAAACTCATAAAGTGAAGCCAGAAGCATGTGAATATTATTTTCTGTTTTAGAAATGAAGACAAGTTAATACCATTGTAACAACAGAAATTATTATCAATTGGTTTTATAATCCTCATTATATGGACCTCTGGAAGATCATATTAGCATTGAAAAGCACACAGTTGTAACACAAAATAATGCCTTTAATTTTAATTAAAATGGAAAAAAATCTCATACCTGAGTGGAATGATTATATTGGTGATTCTCTATTAGACACAAAATCCTTGACAACAGGGACATGTCTTATGTTTTGATATAACATCAGGCTTAATGCAATTCTTGGCATATAACCATCAAAAATATTTTTTTAATAAATGACACTTTAAAAAATATAGCACTTACATAGGACCTACTATGCACCAGCCACCTACCAAAAGAGATTTATAAATATTAACTCATTTAATTCTCATTAGAAAAACCTCATTTTATAAAGGAAATTAAGGCATGGAGAGGTTAGATTATTTGCCCCAAATCACATGGCTTCTTAGAAAGTGATGGAGCAGGGCATAAAACTCAAGCAGAGCCATGCCAGAATCTGTGTTCTTAACCGATACAGCTTTTTTAAAACATGCTGTCTTTAAATTTAAATATATATATATTTATTTAAATTTATATATATTATATATATAATACGTACATAAATATATATTTCATGACAATATTGAACTTAGAATTAGAAGACCTGTTCAAATACATATTAAATTGGACTTGGTTTGTAGCTTTGAGCAAGTTCATTAACCTAATGGGTCCTTAATTTCCTCATATGTAAATCAGAATAATAGCTGGTACCTCACAAAGCTATTGTAAGCTTTAAATAAATAATTTTGTGAACATTCTAGAACATAGCCGGCACCCGGGCTATGCTAGTTGACGTGCCAAGGAGAATGGTACTATTTTTCTCCTTCTCCCTTTCAAAAATGGCACATTACACATCATGTAGGTCTTTGCAAAACGAGATCAAGTTCTGTGTTTCATAAAACATTATGTCCAACATCTTCTAAAGGTAGACTTAATTTCCTAAAGCATTTTCTAGACAAATAAGCTTCAAACTCAATTGCTTGTTTTCTGGGGGAAAAATGTATTTTTTTCCCCCAGAAGCTGTTATGGTTTAAACAACTACCATCAAGGAAAAAAAGTCTTTTTCTTCTAATTGGGAAATCAAGTTTATATATATATATATATATATATATAAAAAAATATATATATATATATTTATATATATGTATATATATATATATATATATATTTAAGAAAAAAGATTAGACTGACAATAGAACATATGACATTTATTTTCACGGAAGACCCTCCGACATTAACAGGTTCTACCACATCCGACGGGAATCTCCTCGGTCAGTGATTCCCAATCATGGCTGCACATCATAATCACTTTAAAAGATGCATAAAAATGCAGACCCCTTCCTCAATGTTCTGATTTAACTGGTTTGGGGAAGGGTCTGGGCATCTCTATTTTTTTTTAAAGTTCTCCCATTAATTCTAATTTGAAGTCAGGGCTGAGAACACTGATTTAGGTTATCATTGAAAATATCACTGGTCTTCTATTTTCACTTTATTTTTACTCTAATAAGAATCAACAATAGATAATAACCTCATTCATGTTAACATTGAAAGAGTCTGAGAAGTTTACCGAGAACAGGGTTGCCACAGCACACCCGTGCTAAGATTTAGCTCCATTTTTTTAAGTTACTGAGGCAAATTCTATCTTTACCTAACCATCATCATTTATTATCTGGAGTTACAAAAACATAAGAAAATGGGAAACAGACGCCGTAATTATATCAGCTAATTTTCTTTAATTCCAAGCATCATAAAACAATACAACTCTAAGGTTAATTAGGTGTTCTTGTGAATAACTTATAATAAGGATTTCATGTTTACTATGCTCAGTGTGTTGGTGTGGTCAGTAAATAATTTTAAAGCATCTTACAGTATAACTGAATATTATTCTTATGGCTATAGTTCCTAACATCAACTGTAGATTAGAGACATAGAACCAAAACAAACCCCGGCTGACAGATGTTTTCAGCTATATTAAAATATTGAGTAGAAATAAGTGCCCACAGAGAATACTGACTTCAACTGCAAAGATGCTTTGCAAATCTAATCACCTTAGTTCCTCTCATAGTACAAGTGAAGAAAACCAGCAATTTCGACTTTTTAAAGCTGAGTTCTTTAACTGAATGCATAGTAAGCTAGCAACATTCTGTTACAAGTTTTATTTTATAAATCCCACAACACTAAAAGCATTCATTCCTACATTGTCTTTCATGGCAAGCCAAAGTGATGCAAATGTATAAAATATTTGCTTTCTGTTATCACTTAAGACACACTCAAACTTGGACACTCTGCTATTTAAACATTAGTTTCAGGAACTACATGGTTCCACTTTAGTTTATTTTGAACATTTCACTTTCAGTCGCCCAATAATTTTAACAAATAGCCTTGAACAGATGACTTGGTTCAGGTTAATGACAGCCAGCATAGTGTGAGGGTCTCCTGAAGATGGGTAAGTAGGACCCTGTCTTCTAGTCTTGCATATACCATATATAATATTAGGTAAAAGCTTGCAGATAGAACTTTTCTTAAGTAGATTTGCAAAATAAAGCCTGAATGATGGGTTAAAAATCTAACTGGATTGTTGATTTCTGACTTTGATTGGATTTTCTTGGACCTGAAGAAAAATGAATGTTTCAAAAAGAAGAATTAATTTGTTAGAGCTTTTCTTGATGTCTTTCACCCAGGCTTGGAAAGAGCATCATGAAAAAAGAGTACCCTTTTGGAAACTACGCACACAACATATTTTTCCTAATAGGTGTGAAGAATGGCTGCTATGCATAAATGATTGTTGGAAAATAATTCTCTGTAAAACATGACTTAACAAGCAACTCCATTCACCACTGTACTCATCCCAATAACCAGAACAACCATGACACAACACATAGATGCCGACGTTACCTGCTTGTTATTTAATAGACACCTTTTGGAAAAAATCCACCCCTTTCATCCCTGTAATTTTCATGCCCGATAAGTTGGAAAATAAACTTTTGAGAGAAAATTGATATTAACAACATAGTAAAAGTCACAGAAAATCAGAGGACTCTTCAATATGAAACCTTAAGTCATAGCACCTTTCCAGGACTTTTACCAAGGGTAAGGTGAAGCAGCTGAGACTAAGCTGACCCGACATCAGAACCTCCAACAATACAATCAAACTGCAGTTTTGCAATAATGATAACGATAATAATTAATAATAATAATAATAATAATAATAATAATAATGAAAATCAAGGTACCTCGGGCACCGTTACTGTTAACCATCCCTGGGAACATCCCAAAGCTTTAGTCCCCCTCATCCCCAGACCCTCCTTACCTAGCATAATTTCGGCTGGGTACTTGCTCATTACAAGAGAAGGGAATTTGCAGGTGGTGACTCCAGAGACTCAGGAACTCAGGCGTGAGCGCCTATCTGCTGCGCAGGAGATGTCAGCAGCAGGGTGAGGTGCAGACGGCGCGCACCTCTCCAACCCAGGAAGGTCCTCCAGACGCGCAGCGCAGCCCACCCAGCGCCTGGGGGGCTGGCTTTCCTAGTTGGACATGAGATCAAACTGCGTTAGTCTCGAGCCCTCCTTCTCCTGCCCCACTCCCGATTTCCTGACACTTGAATTCTGTCTTAAGTGATGGCTTAAACCTCGCCTCAGCTGGTCTTACAGGCTAAGAGGCAACTACTTGCCCCTCATGCTTTCTTTCCATCTCCCCAAAGTCCAGGAGGCTCACCTTCCTGGCGCCTTCCTTCCCTCGCTCAGATGTGAGCTGTGCGCAAACTTCTCCTGACTTAAGTCTTAATCGTCCCCCGCACTCCCGCTCCACCCCGCCTGCTTTCCCCCACTGCTCCNCCCCGCCCCTCCCGGCAGCAGAGGAGGTGGCTGCGGAATTGATGAGCGCCAGCTCCCCGGCTCCGGCCCCTTCCGCCCCCATCAGCCCCTTCCTGTCCCCGGAGAGGGAGGGGCGAGCAGGAGAGCTCCGAGCGCCTCCCCGCCAGCCCCTCTCGCCCCGGCCCGCGAGTGGGGCTGTGCCCGCGGCGGTTGCCTTACTCCAGTCCGGGCTGGGGCTCACCCCACGAGTCCCAGAGACGAAATTGCGGTGTAAACACAGGAAGCAGGAGAGGGACCCCAGTTAGACCTTGGGTAGGGAGGGGTGGGGGTGCGATAGTCTGGGCTGGGAGCTTTGTAGCCCGTCCCCGGAGGCAGCTTTCTGTCAGCTCAGTCCCCTCCCTGGGGGATGCAAATTCCGGAGGGAGGTGAATTTTCAAAAGAACCCACCCCAGGAGACCGTGCCACCTTGGCTCCTTCAGCCACTGCTGGGGGAAGGAGGGCGGGGACAGCACCACCTGGGAGCTTGTGGAGAGGGTCGCTAGTGGGCGAGGTAGTGAAAGTGGAAAGGGGATGGGTGGGAAAACGGTTGGCTAAGAGCTGGGGTGCTGAGAGGAAGCAAGAAAAGAAGCCAGGAGGCAGGAGGTAAGAAGAAGGACCATGGGGGTCCGGCAAGCCCTGGGAGAGCGTCCGGAGTTGGGGGTGCAGCCTGGATTTGGGAGAACTGCGCCCTCCACGTAGGGGGCTGGTGGTGGGCACAGTAACCTGGGGTGAATGAGTGCAGTGAGGACGGAGTGGAAAGAGAGAGGTCTGGAGTGTCAGGCGCGGGGACTGTGACACCTCCCTCTTTCCCCCTAAAGCCCTTGATGCCAGGCGGATCCCGGGACAGAGTCCCGACAGGGTGCAACCCGGGCTGGCGGTAGCACCCAGGGAGGCAGGCAAGTTGGTGGCAAGGACGCACAGCCCTTAACATCCTTCAACCCACAGCTGGGTAGAGCCAGGCAGCAGCGGATACTTTTTTCCTAACTCTGTGGGGCGTTGAGCTTTAAGAATGCAGCATCCCGTGCGTCTCGGGACTGTAAGGTGGCCATGCACCGTTCATGTTAGCAACACAGTGTGCTCAGCAAAAGAAATAATGGTAACAACGTAATAGGACGAGGAGAAAGCCAGACGGCACACTTTCCCGGGCTGCCCAAGTTTCTCCTGAGCACCTAGGACACAGAGGTGCCCTGTGAATGGGTCTGCAACCTGCACCCATGGGTTCTCGGATTCCTTCCCTGGAGAGATAAAATGTTAGAGGCAAAAGGTGCGTGTGTGTCTGCCCAAAGGGGAGCTCCCACTCCCCACCCTAGAGGGACTTCATGGACCCCTAATTTGTGTGATTGGGGGGCTTTCAGGAGACCCAATAGAAGACAGAGTTTAGAGTCAGAGCAGCGCTCCCACCAGACCTTCCAGGGGTTTTGTTTTCCCAGGCTCTCTCTCCCCTCCATAGCCCCCACCCCCCACCCCCTTCCCTGCCACCTCCAGTCTGGTGACCTAGAGGGCTGTGTGTGACTCACCATGCATTCAAACCCTACAGCACCGCCCCACTGCAGGGGAATATCCTACAGTCCCTTTATTCAGGGGATCTAAGTGGGAATGACATTGTTAGCAGTAAAAAAATATGACTAGGAAAGGAAGCAGGGCAATGAGGAGAGGAATTTGATAAAGGAACACACACACACACACACACACACACACACACACACACAGTGTAACCCAAAACCTGTACAAGAAACCTTCTGAATTCAGGATTTAGATACGAATATTCACTATGCTTTGACATCTGTCCTGAGTTCAATAGCTCCCTGCTTCCCAGCTGCTGCTAACCAGCCAACACCTGACCTTGCCTCCTTTATGAATTATCTTTCAGAACATTAATTACCCCTTTTCTGTGCAAAAAAAAGCAGAGAATTACTAAAGTTGTTTGAGTATCTCCTCTAGTTAACTGCTGGGGGGCAAACATTGAAAATTTCCCCCTTGTAGCTCAAATCATGGAAATAAAATTGAATCGGGGAGATTTTTGCCAAGTGAAGGGTGCTGCTGTCCTCTTCTCCGTGTGATACAGCAAGCATGGGGAGATTTTTCAGTTGGAGTTTAATCCTAGGGCATCCTATATCCCTGATTGACAACCAGTAATCTGAGAGCAGGACAGGCTTGCTCTGTAAAGCTACTAAAGATGTGTAGAATAGAGCCCTTAACACCGACTTAGACAAAACAGTCTCAAAATTAGTGAGACAAATGGCATGGGTGTGGTATAAGCATAAGAGACCCAGGCTGATTAAAGCACTAATTGGGTTAAAGACATTAATCGGAGGGGAAAAGCAGAGTTCTCTGTAGGCAGAAGATTTCAAGGATGGTGACGGTGGAAGTGGGATCAACGATGGAGCTCTCTGGTCTCCCAAGAGGATAAAATTAACTTTGTTAGCAATAGACGTTTATTGAACACCAAAGGGTTTTGCACCTTTTAGAAGCACTTGGAATTTACAGAAATTTAACTCTATTACTGTCTTGACACCGTCAAAATGTTTTCTCTGTAGATACTGTGTTGTATAGATTTTGGAGAGTGGGTTTTAACCTGGGGATGGTCTGATAAGAGGAGTTGGCAAGTGTTTTTGGAAACACTTTAGACCCAGGTGTCAGTCCTGAAATCAATTTAGTGTGTACAAACTACATTTTAAAAATGAAGTGGAATAGAATCGAAAACAGTAAAGTTCATCGTCTGTAACAAGTGTAGGAGCATGGTTTCTTGAAGCTTGTGTCTCTTCTATATACATAGGTGTGTACTGAGATGCAAAGTAATGTATATATTTTTCTCTGACTCAATCAAACGTCTTAAGATGCTTGGTTATAATAAGCCACCCTTCAAATAGAATACCTTGTATTCACAAATAAATCTTTAAATGAAATTAGTTCAGCAAAGGGGCACTCAGAAAATAATCATCTTAAAATGTGGCAATCACACACATTTCTGATATTTTCACTGACTACTTATGACTAAAATTCTGTAATTTTATGAGACTTTGTCCTCTTTCTTCTGCCTGTCTTCTTTAAAAAAAAAATTCTCCCCTTTGGGCAGATATTAATTTAGAGTGACAAATTTTGTCATAGATCTTTCTTCTATGTCTGGGTGCTAAAGTACAGCCTTTTGATGCAAACTCCACTTGAATCCTCCAACCCTCCATTCTCATTGATGAGAAAGTTTTGCCACTGACTGTGGGGAGGTTGAGAGACCCCTCAGCTGTGTCTCTCCAGAACAAGATTTACTCATCTGCAAAACCAGGATTTAGACTGTATCACTTTAATTCCATTTATGGTTCTAGAACCCAGTGATTTTTCCATAAAAAATTATACAATTTTTGAGTTATAGTGAGTGGAAGAAAAATTGCCTTTTATTAAAAATTCACTCTATTAACACGTGTTATATATGTAAAGGAAGGTCACACTTTGGGGGAGCTAAAAAAAGTCATTTAGTTCTATTTGAAAAAAAAATCATTTATCAGGTTAAACTGATTAGTTTGCTTTCCTTTGAAAAGACATTCAGGGAAAAATTTCTCGACTCTCTCAGGAACCCAATTCCTAGCAAGGTTTTCCTTGTATTGAAATTCAGCCCAATCCCTCATATGTATGTGTCGGCAACTTAATGCATATTTAGTATTACCTTGTATTTAGTATTACACTGGCCTAGTCACCCAAAAAACATAATACGCAGTCTCTACCCTCAAGACACCCACAATCTATTTGAGGACACTTGTTTCTTCGTCTTGTAACCTCCTTCCAAATAGACAACAGCTGGTGATTATGCTGTATGTAATTACCCTTTACAGATTTACAGACCTCATCATGACAGACAGAATAATAATTGGCCTTGGCGAAAAATAAATATTTTTATCTTGAAACAATTTGAACTTTCACCTGGTAGATCAAGCTTTCTCCTGCTTCACTTTTCGGCCCTTTTCACAGAAATAGGAGCTGATGCTTTTGTAAGTGTCTCTTTTATCTTCATCTTTCTAAGGGTAAAACACAGTTGTGTTTCTCTACAGAATGTGTCTCCTGGCAGGGAAATAACAAATTCCACTTAAACTATGAAGTGTCTTTCCAGGTTGTACTTCTATAAACTTCACTTGGGTTAACTGTTAACTTTATAAATAAATAACTCAGGGTAGAAAGGAATGATGGGGGCATACATCATTAGCTAGCAGTGGAAGGTAATTGCTCCATCTCTGATAAAGTTGGGAAATGTCAAGGTATTTCCTAACTTTGAAAAAGAATTCTAGGGGAAAATCCAGGAGCCAGGAGAGAAAACAACTGCAGAAGCAAATTGATGTATACATCCATTTATTAAGTTATTTAATAAGTAATGACTGATGGAGTTTTAAAAGTTTACATTCTAGTGGGAGGATGGAGATAGATAATAAAACAAAAAATAAGTTGTTAATTTCAGATACTGACAATGATTTGAAGACCACGGACAGAGGGCTGAGAGAGTCAGGCATGGGTAGTGCTGTGGTAGGATGCTTAGGGAACGCTCTCCTTGAGCTGAGATGTGAAGGAGAAGGAGCCAGCCACCCTGACTGAGCTCCTTAGTAAAAATCTCATACAGTGCCACTTCACCCCTCATTAAGTGAACATAAATACCACTTGCGTCGGGAGTCTACTTTTTTGTGTGTTTGTGATTGTGTGTGAACATTTCTTTGTGAAAGGCTTTCTATAATTTACTCACATTTGGTCTGTGCTCAGGAACCCGGCAGAGAGGAGGTAGCTATCTGGCTTGCACTACAGGGATAGGCAGTGGTAATTTTCAGTACTTTGGAGGCTGGTCCATAGGAAGTTAAATTAGGAGAGAACTCTCACACGGAGCTAGCCTTTAAGCATGGGTCGACTCAGGCTATGTTGGCAGAGTGTGAAAATGCAAGACAATATACAACTTCCCTCAGAACTAATGCAAAAGTTGACTTGTCTTTAATAGCTATGATTCTTAGTTTTCCATTTTCTGATGAAAAATCAATAGCTTTATTGATTTTGCTTTATTGAATAGCTACTGCCTACTATAACCTAGGCATTTATTTTAAGCACTTTAATGTATTATCTCATTTTAACTCTATGAAGTAGGCACAATTATTATTCCCATTGTACAGATGCAGAGACTAGATGCTTAACAAGTTAAATGATTTGACAAAGGAGGCCAGATTCTAAGACAGGCAAATT